AACATGAATGACTTTTTCACAATGAATAAATTATAGAAAACTTGAATTCAGTACAGGAACAATTAATTTTTTGAATCTAGGTGTACTTACAACAAGCTTAAGTGTGACTTTGGTCCCAGCAAAGCCAAACGCCAAGTAAAACAAACAGGGATGCTTAATAAAAATATTCATTGGTGATTTCACGGCTACATGGTAGGCTAGATATGTTGTTAAAGTTATGGGTAGAAGTGGCGAAAGAACACTGGTTCCCTAAAAGCAACAAAAATTAAGGTGAGTTGACAAAGGTCAATCATTGAAGAGTTTATTTCTTTTCCCATCACTTTACAGTGTGTTGGGGTACTGACAAGGAGTTATTCCAACACTGATATGATGTGTTGTAGTATGACCTGTGTTGGTTTTAGCAGTTGGTTCAGTTTTTGAAAAGTCAAGTAATGTCATTTTCATTTCTAATTAAAGAAAATGGTCATTTGACATTTGCCTTCACCATCTTGAGAGATCACCATAATCTTGCATTGATGAAAGATAAACGCTGAGCTTGTGGCAAAATAGCAAACTCAATGTAAAGTAAGCCTTAATTGTTACTCATGTGCCAACCAGAAGATAATTGGCTGATAGAACAAAGTGACTTGTGAAAAGCCATTCTGATTATGGTTGGCACATTAATATAAGAATGAGTTTGTTGGTAAACATTGAGTATCGCAATACTAGTAGAAGCCTGAATAAATGCGACTGTATAGTTAAAAGGTTTCTATCACTGCAACCTCACCGTTTGCGTCATTTTGAAAGCACATTCAATTACCTTCCAAGATGGCATTGGCAACTATAAAGGCCATTGTTAAAACAAACAATGCACTGGCGGATCCAGCACTAGTTCACCAATTTGCATCATAAAACAAATCCGTGAAAATRAACCATTTTGTTTTATGATGCAAATTAGTTAACAAGTGCTGGATCTGCAAGTGCAATGATGTTCATTATCAATTTGTTTGTAGCCTACTTACAGCAATAGTGGAGCCATTTTTCCCCATACCACCCTGGTAAATTTCACTAAAAATTGCACAAACTGACAGGACGCAGCCCATGACAGATGAAGCTAGGATACATGTTTGAAAAGTAACACCTATCACAGGAACCTAAATGAATAGAAATGATACTTTGGTACATAACAATTAATCGTTGAACATGATAATGATATACAGTGATTATCGATCACAAGCGAGTAGRTTATGAAAAATTATTGGTTAAGGTTGAGAATGATTGAAGAATTATTGGTTGCAACCGAGTATGATATAAGGAATTATTGGTCAATTCTGAGTATGGTGTGTGAAATTATCTATTGAGGTTGATGATGATATGAAGAATTACTGGATTAAAATATGTATTGGGGATTTTTGTGAACATCTGCCATTATAACTTCTATTATGCCAGTATTGGAAGCTACATGTATATATTAACTGGAAAACTTATAGATTGTCAATGGTACCTCGTTCAACCAGAAATCAGGACCAAATAACCCAGTTAAGAAGTACACTAAAATCGATGCTACTTGAAGCTCGGTCACATCAATTCTGTAAAACAAATACACAATTTATGGGCTTTAACATACATTAAGAGGGATTTAATTTGATTTATTCTTTTATATATTCACTATACTCATGATTGTTCAGTACAATTTGATTTAATTACGGATTAGTACCTTTATTTTTACATATATGTAAGCGCATTGAGCCATGATAAATGCACGCTAAGTACATTATTATTATTATTATTATTATTATTATTATTATTATTATCATTATTATTTAAACCAAAAATAACTTACAGTCCAAACTTCATAGTACCAGAGACATATGTCTGCCAATGGGAAACGTAAAACAACACAATCCCAGTAAAACACATTATAAACATCCATATTGGTTCCTTTCCAAGCTGAATAGTGATAGTAAACGACAAGCAACCAGTTACCATGGCAATGGCATCACAACCATGATCCATGAGTTCRCCAAGTGGCGAGCTGCTTCCTGTCCGACGAGCTTGTTTCCCATCGATTGCATCTAATGACTGTGCCACAAATACACCAATACCACACAGAAAGTAGACCCATCGTGGCGCCTTAGTACAAAATTAAAAAGGATTTATGATTATCTTAGTTGAATACTCCAGTTTTGAATTTAAAGCGAATAACCGCTGTTTTACTTGACAGCAGATTCTATTACGAAAAGAACTTACAAAAGACAAAAGAAAGCATGAGATGATTGATATTCACCATTCTATCTGACAATGTTTTTTTTAAAATAAATAAGCAACTAAATGAAATTGATTTCACACAATGATGGTATTTTCCATTAAAGAAGTGATATGTTGTTCCACATATGTCAAGCACAAGTAGTTTATGAGTAGGGTAGGGTAGGGGAGACCTATGYACCAGTTGCTCTACTATTCGTCCCAATCATCCAAAGTGCAMGTTTGCATTGTTATCAATTCTTACAAGGAAATTAGAGCAATGCAAAAACTTGGAGCTACTGGAATTTTTCAGACAATATGCCGAAGTGTCCAGAAGAGTGAATCTATCGTCATGTTCATACCCTTCACATTACATAAAACATCAAGAACAAAACAAAGTATGTTTGYACATTCATCATATTTACAAACTTAAGGAATAATAATTGGAAAAAAAGTGCAATTTTAGAATTCTTTCACTACCATGGCAAATACTTTCACTTTTGCAACAACACATAATCTCAAAATCCACAAATGGTCGAGGAAGCTGGTATTTTATCACAATCTCACAAACTAAATCACACTTAAGCATCCACAAGTCCTTGCACATGTGATCATTTTAACCTCAAAATGTTAATTGAAACGGGAGTTGACATTATTYAGTATAGTGTCAACTCTTTCAAGAAAAAAACGTTTTCGTGGAGAATTATAAAGGAGGGTTTTTCCAATCATTTTTTTAAGCGTGACAAAATTAAACTACCTTTCATTCGGTGATGAATATTCACTAGCTATACATGTCACTTAACGAAAACAACGCATTTCTCACGCCATTTTAGCTATTTATACAATAAGAACTCGCTTTATTATAGCACATTATAATTCAACTTCACAGCTTGATAGCGTTACATCAAAAAAGTTTCAAAAAGAGTCCTAACTTTCAAATAACAAGGTTAAATCATCCAATGGTATCGATCGATGTTTGAAAAGAAAGTTAGTGTACGTATACTGCCAAGTGATTGTGGTTGTCACAAAGCATGAAGACACTTATTAGAGACTATGCTATTGCTCTGTGACCTGATGTCATTTGAAGCGTTTAATTTGATCCAAGTAATATAAAGTTGACGTAGTGTTTTCTTAAAACAAAAGACCGATTTGTGCAAACACTACAAGGAAAAAACAACAAAWTCACAAATAATACGTAACCACACAGAAATCGAAATCGTATGCAAATAACACTCGTTTAGAGCGARTAATAAGATACTTACGTTTCCAAATGCTTGAGGACAGTAATATATCAGAATAAAATTAGGAATTAAGTTGGCCAAAAAGCCCATCATTGTTAAAAGATTCGGTGCAAGCCATAAAGGCATTTGTTCAACAAGCCATCGCCACCAGATCTGAAACACAGGGTCCAASAGAGACGTGCACTGAGCGCTGTACTTATGCTCTGACAGCCTTTTCAGCTGGATCTCACTCATGACACCCATCTTGATTGCTGAATCAATGCCTTGGATCCTCTATAATGTGATATTTTCGGGGCTTTTCGTTAGCAAATCCWAGGTACCCTTGCGATATTGTAGTGTTCGTTTCTGTATGCCTCGATTTAAAGTTCCATGAGGCCTGGCAACAAAGCAGTGAGCATTCCCCCACCATACCCCCAAGAGGAACGYRTGAAATTGTCAAAAATTCAAAAGAATGTTGACAGTTAAGTGTATATATGCATTACTTCATTGCAAACAATACTAAAAATATGGCTATGTAGTTTATTTTAGACTATCACGAGACATCCGAAACAGGGGACGCACAAAACCATCTCTATGTTTGYATCTTTACTTCCGCCGGAAGTTCTCCGATGACACCGTTCAGACAAAACAAGTTTCGAGTTTTGGTTATTTTGCTTAAGACCTTTGGAGAGTTTGAAAGGAAAATGTTGCTCTTTCCTTTGCACCCCTTGTCGTGTTTTTTTTTTTGTGATTATTATATTTTTGCTCTCTTTCTATTCAAACTATATGTATTTATTATCTATTGCGTAAAGTTGATATTTTCACTAGTGAAAATAACATATTCGAGGTTTCAATATATAGTGGAAGTAAGAAGAAAGCTATATATTTTATGGCATAATTTGCTTTTTTATGTAATTATATCATTATGATAAACAGAATATTACATGAGCGCTTGGAGATACAAATTTTATCCGTCTCGTGTTGAAGTCTTGTTGAATTCGCTACTGTCACTCGTGAGAGGTCTTTTCAACACTCGAAGATAAAATCCGTATCTCCGCGCGCCCATATAATATCCTCTATATACTATCCTCTATATACCGTTACAGCGGTCCTACTGTCAAAGTCAAAGCATTATTATGCAAATTTATTCATATTGAGTTTATTTTGTAAATATTCTTTTGAGGTATGATTTCAGCGTAATTTGCTCGTCGAAACGAGCTTGAATCAAATCAAGACGTATTATTGGAATATTCCCATCTCACCAAGGTAAGTTTTAAAAGCTTTAATAGTTCGATTTTCAAAGATTTTGTGAAGTTTGAAGCGTTCTGTGTGAAACTTTCACGATAAAACTATAACATAGCTTAAGAATTTCAAGAAATATAACTTTCATTAGCGAGTTGTGAAATCAAATGAAGAGATAGATTTTAGAAATTTAAATTATTGGGTATTTTAGTTCTACATTATTATTATAAGCCTTGGTAAACGAATTTAATAATAAAGCGATATCTAAGTACAAGGATTAACTTTTCAACATCTCAAATTTAATTACTTTTCGTCGTTATACTTGAAAGATTGCGAGGAATCAACAACAAGCTATGAAATATAAGAAACTTGCTAGATGCTTAGATCCTCATCCTCATTGGACATGTGAATTGCGTCCTTTTCTTTTCAATTTCACTATGTTCACAAAAACAAGTTGTGTTAGAAAATGTTTTATAGCGGTTTATTTACGGATGAATCAATAATGATACGGTCAAGGGGTGGGGTGGGGCGCTTTGGAATTGAACAGAGGAATGAAAATCTGAAAGAAAAGATGCATGGCGGTAAAATTTTATTTTATTTATTTTTTTATTTCCATCCATTTCGTTAAAATTTACTGTCCATTCTATCAACTTTTCCATGACCTTCCATATATTTACCATCAAAAACAACCGTCCTGCCATCCTCCCATTCTCCCATCCTCCCAGTCTTTCAGTATTCAAACAGTTTGTCAATTCATCGATTTTATAGAAAATGGCTGATCAAATATACAACATGCTTACTGGTGATGTGACTGAYCTTCCACCAAAGGAATCCAATATTGTTAGAATCTTCACTAGTTCAACATTCACAGGTATAAGGTCGTCGCTTCCAAACAGATGAAACATTTTGCTCTTTTGGTATTTCTATTGATATAATTGTATTTCTCTGTACTGTTTTGAGAGGAGGCTGCAATCCCAGACATAACATTTACAACATACATTTTCTCTCCTCCATCCAGACCTCCCCCATTTACAACATTGAGTTCCAYAACAGCTTGTTTCCATGCACAATTATTTTGTTGGTTTGTTGGTCTCAACCTTGATGTGGGGTAACGGGGGAGTAGGTGTTAGGAGGATGGGGTGGGGTGGGGTTGCAAGGGAGGTTGGGGGGAGGGGGTGGGGTGGGTTTGGGGGTTTAAAAAACTCAGAATGGAGGGGAAAGGGGTACAAAATAAAAATATCCCCTCTTCCTTGGATTCCCATTTTTCGWTTCATTCTCATCATTCAGACACATTTGAAGAGAGGAACAAGCTGATGAAAGATGTGTACCCGAGC